CTACTGCATCAGGAAATATAATCCAGTGCCGTCTATTGTTAAATCTTACATTTAAAATGCCTGTTGTAGAAAAAAATCAATAATATTTTTTTAACTTTTGTTCAAAATAAACTGAGATGTGACAACTAACCACTAGTTTTATTAAAATGTTTTTTTAATGCCATTAATGATTAGAGAGGTGATAACTACTATAATACAGTGCCAATTAATATTATAAATTGTGATTCATATGCCAATAACTGCATCTATTAACTGTGTAAAATAAATAAGTTTTTTCTTAAAATACATTTTATTTTTATAAGGTATTTTTTTCAGTATCATATTATACAACCTATTAAGAATATTGTTGTGTATAAAGTTTTTAAAATGAATAAAAAGACAAATTTTAATTTATATTTACAGATAACTTGAGTCCTAAGAACGACTTAAAATGGTAATAACTATACCTCTTACCCTAGTGAATTTGTATTTATTGTTGAAATTACTATGCATAATGATGGATGATAATCATCTTCATTTAATACTATTGCATTATGTCGGTAACTAGTGCATGCATTATTAAAGTAAACTAATATCATATTAGTCTAATCAAATAGACCTTTAAATTAAAAATTTTGAAAAAATATAGGAATTAAATTTTTTTAAGGTTTCTGTGCCATGGAAGGCTACGTAACATATTATATATGGGAGACCTTGCTCTAAGTGGGAGACTTTCGAAAAGTTCATCAACTCATGTGACAGATGAAAACGAGGAGTTATGCTCAAGTGCTTCGTCGTTCAATTGGTCATAGTTTGTCCTCAACGATTATGTGTTGCAATGTGGCATTAAGACTTGGAGGAGATATGCATTGGGGGTATTACGACATGTGGAAATTTGTGACAATGGTTAACATGGGAGATGGTCCTTAATGACAATATGGTGCAGTGAAGAATTGGGGGGCGGGGTATTCACCGGGCGACTTGACAAATTAACGTACGGTTACATAAGTTTTGCGAAAATTTCAAAGGCCAAATATTGTAGCATTTAGAATTTCATAGGTTAAATACTTTGATAATTACAAATTGAAATATTATTAAAATGAAGTAATCTTAATAAACCTTCCTTCTAGAAAATAGTTTTTTTATTTAAAATAAGTAAATAACTTTAGCATTTAGTTATCTTAAAAAGGTTTGTTTATAGTAAATATATGTTCATTTTAATAGGTTAACATTCTTTACTAACGTCACCGAACTAAAACTAGTTCAGTGGTCAAAGTGTGGCAATGTTTGTTTGTATATAATTTTGGTCTTTGACATTTTCTTTGACATTTGGTTTGTCAGAATTCTCTGCCAATGTCACCGAACTAAAACTAGTTCCGTGTTCAAATTGTGGCAATGTTCGTTTGTATATAATTGTGGTCTTTGATATTTGGTGTGTCAGAATATTAGTGGTTCTATGAGTTGGCTGAAGGCCTTCATAAAGCGACCTTACACTTTTAGCAACGTGTTTCTAATTCTAAACATGTGATTGGTCAGAATTTTTGGTCGAACCTCAGAATGTTTGAGAAGTTGCCTTTCTGTGTACGCGCCGAAGATATCGGCAGCATCGTGGTATTATTGCCAGCTGATCAGGAGTATACTTGGGACATTTTTGTCTTTTACGATATATTTGACTACTTCTTTTTAAAATTCTGCAAATTGTACTTTGAGAAATTTTATTTGCTCTGTCTATTTTTCGTTGAGACACGCCGACCCTCAATTTTGTTCTTCTCACTATTCTACAGCATTGCTGACGATTAAAATGACGTGGTCTTCCACTTTTCGGGAGATTTTGGCATGGAATTCCCTGTACGCAATCTGCTATGGTCCGGTATATTGTACTCACCGATATCTCAGTCTCAAAAAATTCGAACAATTTCAACCTTAGAAGGAAAGCCCACTCATGCGACAAGTCGCGCGCGACTGATCGCGAGGCATTGCGCGCGGCAATACTTTAGATGTTTTTAAATGACTCAAAGCCCATTAACGCGGTTCTGTCCCGTGGTTTCACGCGGCTGAAAATTAGAAATGACAAGCCCGCGATTTTCCTGCCGCATGCGGCCAGCGTTATCATGAATTCATATGGAGCATCATTCATACAAACGTCAAGTCGCTCGCGAAACGCCAGTTGAGAGTTGGAGTTTCCTGTTTTACTTTTCGACAGTTCTAGTGAAAATCCGATATTCAAGACCGACCTTAAATATCGAACAGTTAATTAAAATAAAATAGCGAAAAAAATATTTGTTCGGGAATCTGCGCTATCAGTTCTTCAAATGACACTACTCTTATTTTGAAATATTTGAAGAACTTATCTACTTGTTGATGTAAATCCTTATGTAATAAATTAAATGCGCCTTTTACGTAAGGGTCAATAAATAATGAATGAACCCAGTACCTACGTCGTTTCAATTTTTTCTGCCGACGACCAGATTAAAACAACACCGTTACTACTTCTTCCATCTCTATTTTGATACTGAACGTCTGTGTCGCTGCTTGTCGTCTGTTAAAAATCGCACCTAAAAAATCGCATGCGGCAGGTCGCGCGCGACATGTCGCGTGAGTGGGCTTTCCCTCTTAGGCATTCGCCCAACCAAATTGTAAATACTTTTTCGGATTTTCAACTTATACGACATATGAGTGAACAAAATGTTAGTCTATAAATGTCAAAGTGAAGCTTAAAGACCAAACAAACTTTTGTTTCTGTAGCCATCTAGTGACATCATATAGGAATCCCATAAGCACACGTTAAGTACTTCAAAGTGGACAGTTGGCATGATTGTACATCGTCCAGAAGGACACTAGCGTCTAACTTCGTTAATATTATGTCGATTAGAACAAGGTAGAGTGCGTTCAATATTAAATGACTGGTGTAATAAATAAGGACAAAATATGTTCAGTATTATCATCTTCCTTATTGTTAGTCAAATTTGTGTTGATAATTCGCCTCTTTACCCTCATTCTGTAATACACTATTTTTATGAATAATTTTTTGCGTATACTCTCGAGTCCTTTTTCAAAAAAAAAAATATTTAGATTTTTGTGAAAAATAACAAAAACCATAAATTTTTAATTTTTACCAATAACTATGATATTTTAGAATGTAATTTATGCTAGCTAGTTCATGAGGCCGATCTAAACTATTCATAAAAAAAATCTACATAAAATTTAAATAGGTCTACTCGAACTCCTATTATTATGTCATTATTAAAATTCTGTACAAATCACTTATACGACTTCTACAAAAGATATTTTATAAATCAAAGTAGACGTAATTTATGAGGTCCCACTAGGAGCTCCGTGAAACTAACACACTAATTTACGAAAATTTTATTTTAATAGCTGGGTCATATTTCAAACTCAAATAGCATATCATCTAATTTTATAGCAAGATGGGTATCCTTACAAAAGAATACGTGAGCGTGTTCTTGTTTAGTACTTACAGGGTGACTCATGATTATTAAATGTTTAAAAACGTACAGGGTGTTATTTAAAAGTAATTATTAATTTTTACTAGATTTTAAAAATCTTTACAAATACCTATATTTATTTAAAAAAAAAAACTACTAAACCGAGGACCCTCTAATACTACCCTTAAATATGTGGAAGCCTAATATTTTTTTTTATTTTGCCTCGGATATGGGGTAACTTGGTCACCTAAGTAAAAGTCCACGAAACTAGCTATGTAATTGATTTTGTAAGGAAGTAATCCCGAATCCTGTTAAAAATACAGTCCCATTTATTGCCATCTTGAATTAAATATCTTAAATAATACCTTTAAAATTCTAATAAAAATGTTTTGTGCCACCCATATTATACAATATATTTCCCAGTGTATGATCAAATGAAATAACATTCAGTATAAAATCATATGATAATGTATTGTAAAAAGAGCACTTGCATACAGATGAGTAGATAATATAACATCCAGATGGATGGCTCAGCTGTTATCTACGAGAACTGCAGAGACACAGATAGGGCAGGACACCATCTCCATCTGCAAAACCAGAGGATGTCCACACGGTGGAGTTCTATCCTTACTAATGTGAAGCCTAACCGTAGACGAACTTCTATGCAGATTGACTGACCTTGGTATACCCTGTTAAGGTTATGCTGACGACATAGTCATATTTGCTAGAGGCAAGTTCAGTAATATCCTGTGTGATATAGTCCAACGAGGACTAGAACATACCAAAAGATAGTGCCGTGAAGTAAGACTAAGTATAAACCCTACAAAAACAACACTAGTATTCTTTTCAAGGAAAAGAAATCTTAATCTCAGAACCGTTAAATTAGAAAATGGTCTGGAGATACCTAGAACAATTTAATGAGCTAGGGGAGAAAAATAGAGTTAGTCTCATTTAGTTCTCGGGACATAACGGGGTACAGGATAACGAGATTGCAGATAGTCTTGCAAGGAAAGGGGTTTAAACACCCTTAGTAGGACCTGAGTCGTTCTGCGGTATCAGCAGTAACATAATATTAGGAGAGATTAAAAAAGAATTGGGCAGTAGAAGAACCGATAATTGGAACAATCTCTTGGACAGGCCAAGATACTTCTGGGTAAATATAATCAGGAAAGATCGGAAGCCTGCATCTGCCTGAGCAAGATTAGGCTACATATTGTAACAGGGATCCTTACCGGGCATTGCCGACTAAGAGGACACCTAAGTAAACTGAGAGTAGTAGAGTGCAATTCTGTGAGGAGGAAGACGAAACCTCCATTCACATCCTAACTGAATGTGTAGCACTCCAGAATCCAAGGGCACTATACCGAGGAAAAACACTGTATTTGGAGTGTAAACTAAATATAATCAAAGAAAATAAAAATTTGTGAATTGGCAAAGAAATTTGACCTACCGGAATTCACAGTCCGAACGGTTATAAAAGGTAAAGCAAAAATTTCAGAAGCTGTGAAAGGCTCTCAATCTTTGAATTCAAGCATAATTCGTAAACGTCACGGTATTATCGCTCAGTAGGAGACAATGTTACAATTATGGTGTGATAATCAGGTAAGACTTAAAAATTGTGCTGTTGACCAAAACATAGTGTGCTTTCAAGCAAAGCAGATTTTTGACAAACGCTGACAAATAAGTTGCGTCTCTTTATCCAGAAAAACTCAAGAAAATGATTCAAGATGGTGGCTACTCTAGCCAACCCATTTTCAGTGTAGACGAAACCGGTCGTTTTTGGAAGAAAATGCCTAAAAGAACTTTTAATACGCGTGAAGAGAAAACCTTTCTAGGTTTTAAAGCCGCCAAAGATCGACTGACAGTGATTTTTGGTGCGAATACAGCTGGTGATTGTAAATTGAAACCTCTCTTAGTTTATCGCTCAGAAAATCCAAGAGCCTAGAAAAACAAAAATTTTAAACTGGTTTGCCCGTCATTTGGAAATCTAATGCGAAAGCTTGGGTGACAGCTTCTTTTTTTTGAAGACTGGTTTGGTCATCAATTTATTCCTGAAGTTATTACCAATTGAAAGTGATTGCTACTAATTGACAATGCACCAAGTCATCCTCCTACAACTCTAATTAATTTAGATCCACGGGTGGAGGTTGTATTTTTGCCACCAAACACTATCAGCTTGCTTCAAACAATGGACCAGGGAATCATTAAAACATTTGAATCTTACTACATAAGGTGATCATTTGCACATCTAAATGAAGCTATAAGACAAAATAACGAGCTTTATGTCAAAGACTTTTGGAAGTAATTTAATATTTTAGATGCTGTAAGAATTATTGGACAATCTTGGAATAAGATTTCACAAAAAAACTTTGAATTACGTCTGGAAAAAGCTATGTTCATTTTTTTTTCACCACAGAAACCCAAAGAGAATCAGCTTCAGATTCTGAACAAATCGATGGTATAATTGAAGAAGTTGTCATTATTGCCAAACAATTAAATTTAGAGGTGGATGCTGATGACGTCTAAGAATTGCTGGATTCACACAACCAATAGCTAACAATTGACGAGCTTTTAGAAATGCGTGAACATGATGTAGACATTGAACAAAATGATTGGTTAGACCCATTTAAATCGGAAAATCAAATGACGATTTCAAACTTAACAGAAGGCCTAACTACAATTCAAAAGGGGTTAAAAATTTTAGAAAAATAGATTCCAATGAAGACCGCGTTTCTACTACAAAACGAGAAATAAAAAAATTACACCATACACTAAGACTTCCAATGATTAATTCATTAAAACAAATTCATGCAAAACGTCTTAATTAATATTAATTATACAAAAAAAATCATACTAAAAAACTAAACAGCTCAATTTTTATAATCAACTTTTAAAAATAACACTAACTGTAAATATTTTAAATAGTAATAGGTAATAATTAAGAAAACATATAACATAAAATCCACATTGAGACACTAACGGCGTTTAAAATGTTCAAAATGTTTTTTTTTCTCATGAATATTTTGTTTATTGTTACCTTATCACTTCAATCTAGGATCGTACTCGCTGATACCTACTGTCCGTATTTTCTGAAACGAATAGAAGCCCACAGAATAATAGCGGTGCGTTTAATATACAATAGCGGAATAGGGCGTCAACAAATTAAAATTAAATAAAAAAAAATAATGAAGGGTTCCTTGATCAGTTACACGAAGAGGGTGCAAGATTAACGGTACTACTGGTAACGGTACCGGCATCACGAATCGTTTTTATCATCACCTGTAAAGACAATGATTGAGTTTTATTTACACCTTATATACTCAGAAATTAAGAACATTTTTGAGGATTAAAAAATTTGTTTCTAATAGATGACTCTAAGAATGGCAGATGTTTTCAAGTAGATGCAATAAGGACTGTTTACAGATAAATTACAAACAAGCTAAAATAAAGGCCTGATGAAAAGTATTTATACAGGGTTTACCAAAAAGTTAGGTCTTAATTTATACAGAATATTTTGGAGTTAAAATTAAGTCCATTAGACCTATATGTAGAGAAAGTGAGCCAAATATTAATTACTGTTTTGATGTCTGTACATATTACGTTCAAAATGTCTTCTGTAGGTTCTTTATAGCTTTAAAAACTCTAATTTATATATTTAAATCTATTGCACACGAGTCTCAGGAAAATATTCTATAGAAAATTGTATTTTCGTATCAAATACGGAATATGTCCCTAACTTGGAACATATGTTTAAGGGAAAATAAAACAGGACCATTATACAAAACATCTTATTACTTTATGCAACATAAAAAAATAAATCAATCAACATAAAAGAATTTCATCGGATATATGTATAAGGAGAATGCATGTTAACTCCTTTACAAAATTTGTACAAAGATTTATATTGTTTTTTGACCCAAAATAGTGGGCATATGTATATCCACTGTTTACCCGTGACGTTTTTTCATGGCTACTTGTGGGTTCCAAATTAGGGACATCGCACCATTCCATATTAGGTACAACACCATTTTAATTTTCGGACAAATCCAAACTAAAGAAAGAGGTACCCGTAGTCCTATGTCAGTGGATAAAAGCCAGCCTAGAAGAAAGGGTAATAACATCATCTCTAGGCGAAGCTACACTGACAGCTAAAGCAGGCAGGGTCTGTCTCCAAGGAGAGATACTATCACCCTCCTCTGGTCAGTCCTAGTGAACGAGCTCATAAAAAGGCTAATATTTGCAGATTTCTACTGCCTAGGGTATGCCGATGACCTGGCGTCGTCGTAAGAGGCAAGTTCGCAGGTACAATATCGGAGCACACACAAACCGCTCTAAAAATTGTTGACGAGTGGTGCAGAGAGGAGGTACTAACAGTAAACCCTCCCAAAACCACAATAGTCAACTTTACAAAACGAAAAGTACAAACAGAACTAAAGTAACTAGTACTGAAAGGAATGGAATCCATTTGCTCAAGAGGCCAAATACTTGGGAGTCATCTTTAACCAAAAGTTAACATTTAATCAATACCCAAAAGAGCACAACATCCTTTAACTTATGTCGAAGGTTGTGTGGAAAAATTTGGGGACTACAACCGAAAATGTCCCTATGGTTATATACCAGAGTCATAAGGCCGATGACAACCTACGGGTCGGTGATATGGAGGCCAAAGACTCAGCAAGCTGGAGCCATTCGACATCTCAATGGCATTCAAAGGCAAGCATGCCTGAGTACCACGGGAGCTATGAGAACGACTCGAACAGCAGCTGTAGAAGTCATGCTAAACCTAACACCACTACATATACTCATTCAAGGCGAAGCCAGGTCTATCACATACAGACTGCACAAAGGTTCATCACCCATAAGCAGTTTGAATGGACGCGACTACAGCGAGCTATATAAAGAGTTAAAGAACGACCAAATAATGGGAATGCCTTCAGATGATATGCTCCCAAAGTATAGCTTACAAAAGCAGTATAAAGTAAGTATACCAGACATGCAAGCGGGACGGGAGGATCTCCTATTTATGCAGAATTCACCCAGTATACAGACGGCTCCAAAACCCATGAAGGTTCAGGAGTAGGTATATATAGTACCAAGCGAAAGACAAGAATCTCACTGAGCTTAGGTAAACATGCAACAGTATTCCAGGTAGAAATAGCAGCAATATATTACTGCGCAAAAGAGGTATTAAGACAGAAGGTAAATGGAAAAACGATTGTCATAGACAGTCAAGCGACGTTAAAGGCACTTATTTTCATGCACTCAAAGCTTGTGTGGGACTGTTTGGAAGCCCTAACAGAGCTAGGTAGTCAAAACAGACTAACCTTAGCCTGGGTACCAGGCCACAGAGGACATAAGGGCAATAAAGAGGCTGATTTACTAGCCCGAGAAGAAGTCTTAAATGCTCTTATTGGCCCAGAACCCTTCTGTGGTGTAACAAAATCAACTATCAGAACATTTACAAAGCAGAGGATATTTAAAAAATCTCAGAAGTGGTGTAAAAACTCTCTAGGACAGAGACAGGTCAAAGAGTTCCTAAAAGGAACATCGCCTAAACTCACCGAGTAGAAGAGACCTTGTGCTGATTCTGTCAGGAAGAGGAGGAAACGGCAGAACACATATTGTGCTACTGCAAAGGTCTAGCAAGACTGCGATTCCTTACACTTGGAGAAGAAAAATCAAGGACAACTAGCTATACCGGAGAACTACTTTCCAGTCTATGGAGCTACTATAAAAGACCGAATTAGACAAGGTGCTCTAAACAACGATTCAAGGATATCCATAATAGATCTGAAAAGGCCGGGGTGGGGGAGGCCACATGGCCCACAGTCCTAATTAAATCTCATCTAGAAAAGATAGTTATATTTTCTTCTCTTTTCTAAATTTACAATATGTATAAATGCAATTTTAGGCCGAATCATAACATTATAATATTGATTTCAGATTTTGACATTTAAAATTAATTTTTTAGCTTTTCCTTTCTAACCTGACACTTTTTCTTTCAATTAAAGTCTCCAGCATATCTGATATCTATATGTACGATGGATTAATTATAATTTTAGATTATAGTTTATTTCACATTTGAAAATTTGACATTACGTTTAACAATAAAAGAGAAAACAAAAAAATAAAAGCTGTAAATGGCGTTTTATTTTTTAAATAATTGAACACCGTTATTGAAAACTGGCCAGAAATGTTGGGGGTTATACTTTGACGTACTCCTTCAAAGATAACGTTAAAAACATTTTTTTTTTTTTTAATTTTTCGCCGGTAATGTCAAAAATGAGATTGGCAACACTGCACATGTCCCTTTTTTTATTATTACTATTGAAAAAAAAAAAGGTCGTAGGGAAATCAAATACAACAATTTTCTGAAATATTTGATTGAAAGTACCTATAAAATAATGATGGTGAATCATTTATTAACCAAATACAGTTTTATAAATAATCAAGTCAAAATTAGAAAAAAATCTTGTATGTTACACGTTACGAAATGCCCTAGTTTGTGTAATTCGTTCATTTTGCGTTACACAAAATAAGGCACTTCGTAACCGGTTACTTAAATAGCTATTAATTGACTCCCTAATATTCTAAATCATCGAACAGTATTTTCCGTAAATAATTCAATCATAAATAATTACCGGCATATAAGTACTAAAACATTTTTTTTTCTCTTCGAAGAGCAAGCTTGTCAAATAAACTTAAAATATAACGAAAGAAAAGGTAACCAATTTCTAATAAAATTTAGTTATTTATTTTATTTTGTGTGATTGTGTGTAATTCGAGCAGAAAGTACTTTTTTGGCTCAACAGCTAAAGTGCTGCATTTTATTTAGGGCCGATTCCACCGTTGTGCTAAACTCAGTTTAAAATATTAAACGAAGAATAAAATGACATTTTTATATTAACAAAAAACGAAGCTTATTACTAAACGGAGATTAAAATGACATTTTTCTTAACAATGTCATTTTAATCTTTGTTTAGTTACTTAAACTTCATTTAACACAACACTGGAATCGGCCCTTAGCTACTAGCTATATATTGATAAATGAATCGTGCGCTAACAAATAAAGTCAAATAGACGTCTCATAATTTTTCATCTTTCATACTTCGGTCCGGTCCAGAACTTCTTCCTACTTTGGTTCTGGCAAAATTCGCGCAGCTACAAATGCTTCCTAAGTTACCTCTACCCTTTCTAACCTCTTTGCTTTAAAGTCAAGGATTATAGCAAAATGAGACAACCAAACAAATTTAAGTTGCGCCTACTGTGCCTCCCTCTAGGCCACACTCTATACAACAAATTAGGCCACTGGTTTTATTATTTAATTGCGAATAAAAACATTTATTTAACAAACAGACATTTTTTGAAAGCCCACAATGTATATACTGTGGAGAACTGGATACCGTTAAACACACTGTTTTTAGATGTAGTAGGGGGCAAGAGATCAGAAATGAGACGGTGCATAAGCTGGGAAAAAATATATCTGCAAACAATTTAATTGAGATAATGTTGGAAAGTAGCAAAAAATGGGAAGAGATGGCAGCTGTGATACGGCAAATCTTAAGTATTAAAGAAAAAGATGAGCGACGATTAGGGACAGAAGAAGCAGTCGAAATAATATAAATGCATGGAAAATATGTGAAGTAACCCTTATCTGAAGTAATGCTAATGGCAGTCCCAGATAAGATGTTAAGAAAACTTGGAGGTGTTTTACTGAGTATACAGTGTCTGCACCTACCGCACTGGAGTCCCACACTACCTTGTCGCAATAGATCTAAGCGCTTGGTATCCGTAAGGGATTTCACCTCTACCGAAAAAAAAAACAGACATTTAGGAGGCACCTAAAAATATATTGACGAATGCTGATATTATTTGATTAAAAAACAAATATCCCTTATTATTTTAATTCTTTATTTTGTATTCTTTTGTATTTTCTGCTTCAAGTACATTAATGGAAAAAATAAAATTACCCTTAATGACACTTTCTTGGCATAGACAGACATCAAAAAGACAATAGGAAAACTATATTTTCTCATTGGTATTGTATAATGTATTATTTAAATTGAAAAATATTTTCGAGTTGGTAAAAAGCATTTCGAATACCAAACGAAAAATCCCAAACCGGTTAAATCAACCCTCTAATTCCCTGGATAAATTTCTATTTCGATTGCTCGCGAAAAAAAAATGTTCACAACTCTTTTAGTAGCTTGGTTGGGTTTTGAACATTAATTGAATTTTTAGTCATATACGAACATAAGCGGCATGGCCGAAATAATAGAGAACAATGCCCTATGTGCTTTTTTACTGATGAATAGACGTCCAATCATTTCGGACTGCGAAGTGTAAGTACACCTGAATAGTTACGAGAACACGGGCGGACATGCAAATAAAAAAATGTTAGCTTTGGGATATAAAACAGATTTTTCATGGAGAATTAGGAAATATATTTGAATCGACATTAAGTTTTACAAACACAAACAATTAACCATTTACTAAATATTTTTCATCAAAATATATCTAGGGTGTCTCGAACGAATTTGATCAGGCTATATAAACTGGAATTAATACTATTTCAAGAAGGTCAACATTAAAATAAAAACCAGAGTAATTAACGGATTGATCGACTTATAAGGATGATTATTACACTCTGCAGTATGCACGACTGATCAGTACAAAAAACTACCAAGATAAACAATTTCTATATAACCACCTGCGGTATGTGAGTTATTTGTTGCATTATTTGATTTATTAGATTGCGATAGATAGGGATAAGGGTGGAACGTAATAATCATTACGGACAACAGGTCGAATAGTTCGGATCGATCATCCTTACAGGTAAGTCGATCAATCCGTTAATTATTCTTCGCTATTGTCCTACATGTTTATTACACAGTAATTTGAATGTTTCACTTTAATACGACAGATATCCATTATAACTGAACAATCTAATAATTCTCGAAAATAACAAAAAAGGAAAAACTGCAATAATAATAAATAACTAATTAGTAGTAATAATTTATAATTGGTTAGACTTTTTAGAGACCAATGTGGTCGCAAATTAATTTTTGGTTGTTTGGCAGCTTATGGTAAAATTTTATGAAAGTATTCCAGCTCATAGTGGCTCGAATACCATCTATAGATGGTATGAATATATTTATACCTCGACAGAAGAGGCCCGTGGTGTATGCCTATTCCACGTTAAAAATAGTTTCGTTTGTTTGTGGTCTGAGTTTATTGGTTGTTTCCAAGTAGTATTTTAAGGTTTTTACCACACATAGACTAGGTTGTTCTTTAAATTCTGCAAATTTCAGTAAAGATGTATTAATTTTTATCATATACGTATTTCTATGTCTCCATCCCCCTTTCTATCAATGTTTCCTAACAAAATCTTAGATATAGTCTACATTCTATGGGCAGAAATTAATGCCATTAAAGTAATTAGTTTGTAACTTATAAAATTTCTAGTGTCAGTTTTTCTAAATGATATAAAAATTTTAAATATCATAATCAAGGTCGCCAAGTGGTTCGATATTTTGGCTGGTCAGGATTAAGATTATAATATATACCTTTAATAAATCTCTTAAAAATTGTACCATCTTTTTTATTTAAATTTAAAATTATTGATTATTGATAGTGATGATCTATTTATATTTACTGAAGAAAATTATAGTTTAGATTTTTGTATTTCTGAAAATTATTACTCTAATTAATTTGTATTTAAACGGATTATAGTTTATTTTTTATACAAAATGACTCCCAACTTTTTTAAACATTGGCTATATTATTTTAATGAACTCTTAGTTAAAGAGGCTAATAAAAGAACTTCTTCGAGAATTCCTCTATTTAAAAACGAATTCCGAATAATATCCCGACCATCAATGTGGTCTGGCAGTAGACTGGAAAGAACACCACTATTCCCACAGACTTATCACTAATTATTATAATTTTTTTTTTATTTTGACTATCTATTAGAGAGAATGGAGGGAACACGTAGAAATATTCCTGATCCCATTTTATATTAAATTCATCTACATTCGATGATTCTGAATCAGGATATCTAGGTACACTGATAAAACTGAAAGTTTGTTATTTTTCCAATATTTATAGATAATAATTAATATAAGTCAAATTAAGAGAATTTTATTTGTTTAAAATACCTAAAGTTATTTGTTTTTCTTGTAAATTTATTTGAAATTGTACATATTTCTGTTAAATATCGTAGTTTTTAAATATTGCGACTAGTTTAAAGTAGATACCTAAATAATTTAGCAGCAAATAATCAAACTATTAATACCAAATTATAATTTATAATATATAAAATCTGATGTGTCCAACACATGACTTTCCTATCTAGTTATTATAGGCATTTTCCGGTTATTTTGTACAACCTATTGCAGCATCTCTATAAATGTTTAGAGGATAAACTAAATATATACATTTTACACATACATCTACCTCGAAACATTTTTCTATAGATATTCATTGAAAACGAAAATACAGAAAAATTTAAATTTAGCACTTTTCCATTACGGACCATTTTAGAAAAATCATGTATAAACAAAAATTATAGAAATCGATATCGCAAACAACTTTTAGTTCAACAATTTTCATAAAAATCAGAATTTTGCACATTTTGTCAAATTTCTCGAATACGGACCATTTCAGGAAATTTTGACATAAAACAAAAATTATAGATAATAATATTAGAAGTAACTTTTATTTGAACAATTTTCTTCTCCAAACATAAATAACAGATATATTCCATAAAATATAAAAACGGCCTCCCATAAAGTACCCCCCCAGATGTTCCAACTTTGTCCAAAATCTAATCATTTCACGTCAGGCCGAAATAAACCTTAAGTTTAAAATTTAATGTTTTTTCCTTTATCCGTTTTTGAGTTTTCTTCAAATTTCGAAATTTACACATTTTCTCAAATATCTCGAATACGGTCCATTTTAGAGAAATTATGTATAGGACAAAAATTATAGAGAATTATATTATAAACAACTTTTATTTGAACAATTTTTATAAAAAATTATGTTTTTTACATTTTGTCAAATTTCTCGAATACGGACCATTTTAGGAAAATTTTGCATAAAACAAAAATTATAGATAATTATATTAGAAGTAACTTTTATTTGAAGAATTTTCTTTTCCAAACGTAAATAACAGATATATTCCATAAAATATAAAAATGACCACCTATAAAGTACCCCCCCAGATGTTCCGACACTGCCCAAAATCTAATCAGCTCATTGGACGCTGAAACAAAGCTTAAGTTTAAAATTTGGTGTTTTTCTGTGTATCGGTTCATGAGTTATGCGTTATACAGACACACACACACACACACAGACACACACACACACACACAGACATCATCGCGAAAATAGTCAAAACGGATTCAGGGGACCTCAAAACGTAAAAATCCGTCGAAAACTCGAGGTCGAAAAAAATCATGATTCCTATACTTTCCTTATATCTGTATACAGATAGGAAAGTAATATATATATATATATATATATATATATATATATATATAACATATTAAACAAATTTAAATGTGAAGTTAAATACATTTTTATAGTCAATTAGTAGGTACAGGTACCAAATAAATATTTATTATATAGGTAGGTACATTCTGACAAAGGTTTTCTTTTTGTAATGTTAAACAAATTTTGTTTAATCCAAGACCATTATTCTTCTGTAAAGAAATTCGAGTTGTTTGAATATACATTTCAATTTGTTTTAAATTCAAGTTGACAATTATTTATTTCAAGCAATAAATATATTAAATTTAAATACATTTATTTCCATAAAACAAATGTTTTGTTTGGCAGAAAAAGTTATTACTTTTTAAACCAATTTTTGTATTTGTTTGAATGAAGACTTGTAAATATTGTTGAAAATAAATCGTGAATAAAATGATAGATTAATTCTAGATTATTTAGAAAACAAGCATCGCATTTATTTGTATCAAATTAATATTTATTGGCAAAGAGACTTTGATTCAGTCAATATAAGCTTATTTAGATTTCGTTATAGACTCTCGCTAGTGGCCTCTTGTTATAACTAGTCTGATTTGGTACTTGAATGCGTAGGTACGTACGGTCACAAAAGCAAATTTTCATAGGGTCTTTGTATTAGAGGGGTACCTAAAAATGTAAGTTACTATCTATTCGACTGCTTATTAACGCAAAGTTTCGCCATTTTTATTGTTGGCTATTAGGTATTAACGCCACTTTGCTGCAGCTGTTAAATATTTGAACTCAATATCTCGTTTGTTTTTCTATAGCAGTACCAGAGACAACAGAGACGTGTAACTTAATAGGAAAAATTGTTGGGTGGTCCATTTAAATTACATATATGACTTTCTTTCTTTTTTACATTGATCTTTACATATATTTATCTCTCTCCAATAAAACCAACACCAATCTAAGAGGTCGCTGATGTTGCTGGTTTTTTGATGTCGACGTATCGATTAAAACTGACAACTGACAATGTTATGAATGTTGTTATGAACGTGTGCATTTTATTGGGCCCGTTTATTTCTTTGAGTCTGATTTTGTTGTTTAATTAATTTTCTTTGGGGGGGAATGTTTATTTTTGCATATTATTTTTTGCATAAAGCAATTTCTGGAACCAAACTCGCGTTTTTGTACACATTTCTTTCTAGAGGTAAGTAATTTCCAATTTATTAAGAAAACCACTGTTCAATGTGTGTGTTTAATAATATATTACAAAATGGCTATAATTATTTTAGGTGAATTGGAACAGAGATCCATTGTTACAGCTACTTTTGTTTATTAGGTAGGTAGATAGATGAATGTCTGGACAGCTTTAATGGCAGCACAAAGTTCCTACCTACTAGAAAAGTACAATGTATGCGGAGTATAAAATCTGCACATGTAGTATTGACAAAGGACTTTTAAAATGATTAGAGATTGGCTATTTCTTACATACACCTACCTCTAATAGCCACTCTAAAGGAACAAAAAAAAATTGAATCACAAAAGGGCAGAATTTTAAATCAGGATGCATTGAAAAATAAATTTGCAGAACAACCAGTAGTTTAAGTAGGATTTGCTATAACTTTATTAGAAGATTTCCTTGATAATAAATGTAATAATATACCAATTGTTTCAAATGAAATTGAGAAAGAGTTAAATACGAAATTAGATTTTTCATGGGTAAAATGTTATATTCATTCAAACATTGTAAGGTAATCTATAATTAAGGGAATATGGAAAATAGGTATACCCTCGTGGTGTAAGAGACAGGTAAGGGGCAACGACAAAAAATTACAAAAATGTATTCATCTTTAAATAGGGTTTATTAATAATAATATTATTTGCTATGTTTAAAAAGTACCTCCTGCTGCAGAACAGATCGAATAGATTAGACTACTAGTTGGAGAAGGTCCACCTAGTAACCAAATTAGGAGACTAGGAAAACTTTTACATGACTGGGGACACAAAGGGAATGCACACGCACAAGATACACAAACAAACGAAATAACAGGGGTAAGCCTTCAGCAACGTCCTGTTTAAATGATGATAGTATATTATCCTTCATTCCCTTTTAGAAGGCATGGTATAAAAAAATCTATTGATCTTGATGAGCCTGAGGAGTTAGCAGGGGGTGTATACGGAATGGGTCTAGCAGGTTTCGATCCAGTTTACAGGATGGGAACTTACTCGACTCGGGCCTTATACATTTTTGTTGAGTGTATGTGTGTGTTTGTTTCGTTTCCATGGTTTCTATTAAAATAAACAGTCATAACATATCGATAACTTTTTGCCAGAATAACGTAAGCTACATTTGTTCAAATGGCACTAATGATAGTCTGGCAAAAATGTATCGATATACTCTACTTTATAAAATATTTGTTATATTAGTTTTTAAATATATTATGAATATATAACAACTGTTACTTTCTTTGTAATTTGTCACAAAATGATACGAGGTACTTTCTAAATGAAGCAATTGTAGTTTGTTTTTCTGTACCTTACAAAAATATAATTTATAGAAAAAGAGTTTGGTGTATTATTTTTCCAAGTTTAAATATTTAATAATCAATAGAATTTTCAAGTTTTTTTTAGCGAAATTTACAAGAGTAATAAAAACTATGTTTACTGCTTATATTAAACTGATTAAAACTTCCTTTATTAAAATGATTATTTATATGATAAAAAAATTGATGTTATCGAAAGCTTTTATATTTTTTAATATACAGTGAAACAATAGTTTTTGTTTTTCCTGTAAATTTGTATAGAAAAACTATTTATTTCTGAATCCATGTTTGAATTTCTCGGCCTAAAGCATTTTTAATTTTCCCGCTATTTACTAGTGGCGCCATCATAGACTAGTTGTGGTTACTATCGCCCAAATAACTTTTACCGAACAAAAAAAAAATACATTGAGTTACACGTCTCGCTGGATTGTCTCTGGTAGTACCTTGCAGTCCAGATGTTACTTTTTTAAATTTTGTGGTAGAAATCACCCAATATACAAATGAATAATTATTGGAATAAATAGAACATTAATGTTCGAGTCTAATGCGCATGATCGAATTACCCAATAAGCAAGCATTCTAATATTTTACAGTGTGCTTGCCAAGTTATAATGTGTATATATCTATATCTATACTTATATAATAAGTCCAATTTTTAAAAATAGGTATATTATCTAACAATAAATTTCATAAAAGAAAAGTGGCAGTTTCCCAAAAAAGTTTTTAGTTCTGTCATAAAACCGATCATTTTTTTTAAATTGTCTAGAGAGAAACATTTATACATCCTTGTACATAATCAGTGCATTCAGAGACTTGCAATTATTGGCTGTATGAATTCCATTTTATGGAGATATGTTTCGTTTCACAAAGAGTTCATAGATTTTGGGTGAATTTTGAGAAATTTGGAAAAACGATTTTTTAAATCCATATACACTGGATTTTCGTTGACATGGACGTATGTAACGTAAAATAATTTTTGTTAACCTTTGTAGGTATATTTTATACGAACTAAGACGACATAAGTCAATTACTTAGATAGGAATTTACTTAAGAAGAGACATAAGTCAATATTTACTAATATATTTTTCAGAACAGACATAAGTCAATAATTCCTAATATACTTAATTTAATTTGTCTAACGGTCTTAAACTTTATTTTACACTAAACGGCAACTACTATTCTATTAGTCTTGATTAATAATATGCACTGTTGTAATGTAACATGAATGAATATGAAACTCTTAACCACTTGTTTTTTGATTGCACAATATAATACAATTTCTGCCCTGGACAACAACTGAAAATACCACAATAATAGCTAGTTATATGTGGAATATATTTAGGGCATTTATTTTAAATGAATAGTCTTACTGATTTACTTTTTATATTCGTACTCTGTGGATATACCATTTCCGTTACGAATGATTTTTGTTATTCCTTTTAATTTGATTGTTGTTGTTAATAATTGTGATACCTAGATATATCTAATGTTATGTAAGTTATTATTTGATCTAAATTCAGAATAGTTTTGAATGAAAAATTATTTAAAATAAAACAATAATATATTTCTTTGATTTTTGCTCATAAAATTAATATTTTTTTCTTATTTTCCAGCAGGTGATTATTATTAAATAAATATTTATTTATTGTATACTTAAACACGTAGGTAGTAGCATGATAAAAATTATTTATTTGTTTGTCATTTAAAGTAAATAAATACACAGAATGGATTTGATGCAATAAGTGTTTGATTTTTCCATGAGGTGAATGTGATTAAAAGTAAATATTTATTTAGATGACCTTGAAAGCATATTACTATTTGTTTCATTTTTCCCAGTGAATAGGATATATAAATATTTGTTCGATTTTAATTAATATTAGTAATAAAATAATTATTTAAATGAAATAAATTTCAATTCTCAAATATGACCAAAAATAAAGAATAAGGGAAAAAGAAAAATTCAAATTTTGTGTCACAAAAACAACGAGCGAACGTTTGTGTCCTGAAAACAACTACTTCTATGGCTAATAACGCAACAGACATTGCATTGTATCAAAAGGTAAATAGCAGAAAAAAAATAATTTTCAACATTCCAACTTTGATTTTTCTTCCTAAGTAGAACGTCATTCTTGGACCGATTTCGTCCTTCGTATGACTCAGAAAGAAATAGACAATATTGATTTTAGTCTCTAAGGAAGTCTGCTGGCTATACAAAATTATCTCGTACACATTAACAGGTTGAGAGTTTGTAGAAATTCAACGAGCAAAAATGGTAATGGAGATAATCAGAGAACTACAATTTATTTCCTTTAATAAGTGCCAGTCTTGTTATTATGCCACATTATTCTAGAGAACTAGGTACCACATCGAGCTTTGGTTTTGCTTCCTAAATGCAAGAGGCGTTACCATTTTTGCCCATTGAATATCTACATACTCTTAGGCCTCTTTTATGCACGCGTTTTTTGTCGCTTGTCGACAAAAAACGCGACGTTTTCTAAAAGCACGTTGTTAAATGTGCGCTTTTGTGCATCGACGTCAATCAGCCGCTCGCCGCCTGTGTCGCGACGTACTGAAATCCTGTCGCGTGGAATTACAAAACGCGTCGCGACAAACGTTTCTAAAGTACATTGATTTCAATTGGTGCTTTTATGCAGCGCGTTTATTATCGTTTGTCGTTGTCATTTTGAACAGTCAGTTTGCAGAGAAGAAAAAAAATGTTTGTGGTATTCATCATCAGAAGATTACAAAAATAGGCAATTAAAAAGAGATGCGTGGACGGAAATTATCGAAATCATTATTCCCAAATTCAGTAAAAAAAACTGAAAAAGAAAAGCAGGAAATTGGTAAGCATGTATTTTATTAGTCTATTCGCTAGGGTTGTATTTTAACAACGAATTCTATATCTATTCATTTGTAAGCAGTATCATCTATTAGTACAATATAAAAGTATATACATATACTTATATTTTGGTGTCGTGCCATGAAACAGCCGCTGCAGGACTGCTAAAATGGTCGGCGAAAGCATCTCGATATTTATATGCAGAGTTATGTCCACGGTTCTCTTGTTGGTTTCTTTAAATATCATATAAACCTGTTACTGTTAAAGTATCCTCAAATTTGAAGCCATCCCTTACGCGAACAAAATTGTGTAATGCGCAACATGCTTTTATGATTGCTACTGCGGTTTCCACAGATACATTCATGGCTCGGTGGAACATACGCCACTTGTTACTTAAAATACCGAAGAAACACTCTACTTTACCCCTTGCTCTAGACAAACGATAGTTGAAAATTCTTTTTATTTGTTAATCCTTTTCCAGAATAAGGTCGCATTAAGTTATTTGTCAGTCCAGAAGCCTCATTGCCAACGATTACATATGGCAGTGTTGTACCTGCTACTTCCTGTGGCTTTGGAATATTTAAGGTGCCTTCTTTTAATTTTGTGAACAAGGAACAGTTTCTAAATATTGTAGAATATGATTCTTTACTATAGGAACCAATACCTATATATCTAAAGCAAAAGTTGCTGTCTACAACAACTAGCAAAACAATGGAGAAGTAGTTCTTGTAATTATAACATAGTGAACCCCTATGTGCCGGCGCGATTATTCTGCAATGCTTGCCATCAACTGCACCAATAGAGTGTGAAAAATTAGTACGATCGTTAAAATCTTGGGCAATTTCATGCCAATGCTGTTCAGTTAGTGCAGGAAAGCACTCTCCATGTAATGTATGCCATAAGGCAATGCAAATTCTTGGAACTATAAGACTTGCTGTTGTAATTCTCACTCGGTAGATGTAATGCAAATTTGTGTATGTCCATCCTGTAGCAAAATATTTGTAACAAAATTAATAAATCAGGTTCATTAATATAAAATCCATTAGATTCCAACTGAAGCTATTTTTAAAATTAATTATTTCTTTTTTTTTGTTTTTAAGTAAAGCAGTTCAACTTAAGTGGAAACATTTGAGAGACGCTTTTGTTCTTCATAGACGTCAGAAGTCACAAAAATCTCGAGACGGAGCTAAACTTGCAAAAACATACATCTATGCTAATCAATTACAGTTTTTAAGGAAGGTGACTGATTCTTGTCAGACAGAAACTTCACTACCAAACACATTACAAGAGAGTCAAAATGATCTTGATCTATCACAAGACCATGATAATACGCAAGGTAGACAATTAGTAAATGTCAAGGGGAAATCCCAAACCCAAGTTACTCCTAGTAGAAGTACTCAGTTTAGAAGAAATAAATCTGCTTTAGAAAGTAAATTAATAAATTATATGGACTCCCAGATCAAGCAACCATCACCAGTGATACAAAACCAACCAAAAGAAACCGATGACTTGGTCTTCTTTAGGTCATTACAAACGAGTTTAGATACGCTCACTCCCAATAAAAAATTGAACTTCCGAATAGATGTGATGCAATTATTAACTCGCTACACAAACAGAAAACCAAACCAAGATACACCTTATTTTCCAAATTTTACTCCCGCTTATCAACAGGCACAGCAATATCCAGTGGCCAATTTTCCTTATACAAGTTTCAGTGCGCTAATGCCTGCACAAACACCATAATATACAGTATCACCTGGACCGTCACGTACTCCATATTCTGCATTACCACCTGGGTCCTCACACACAGTATCACCGGAGCTCACATTTTCTCCATTCAATAGTAGTCGCAGTACTCGCAGTTACAGTAATGCTATAGAGAGTGAGGCCATACCAGAAAATTCTCCGATAGAATCAGAGGATTCCATTATGTCCGAAGATGAATCGATATTATCATTGATTTAAACAAATGTGTATCTACACATTAACACTATTATTATACTTATTTTCTCAATAATGATCTTTTGTTTGTACTTTCCTCAACGTCATTGCTAACATTTCCCCGGGTTCAAATGCAAATCCCGTACCAACTCCCCATTTGTAATAAAAGTGATTTTTAGCTTTTCACATAGCTCATCAAATGAGCCTGTCGACATACGGTAATAATTGAAGAATTTCTCCCTGTCGAGTCTTAATTCTGAATGAAGTTATAATATGCGCCTCTGAGAAGTCTTGCACTATTAATTGGATGCACATCCCAACGTTTTTTTCAATGAAATTTTTATATATCAAATACGTAAAAAACACGGATCCATTTTTAATCACTGCCGTTGTGTGGTTCACTTGCAACAGTTGAAACTGATCAAATTTGAAAGCGGCACGCGACAAGAAACGCTTGGTATTGTTTCATAAAATAACGCCGCGTTTCTTGTCGCCCCGCGACTAGCGACAAAAAACGCGTTTATAAAAGATGCCTTAACTTCTGTTAATATGTGCGAGCGAATTTTGTATAGCTGGCAGACTTCATTAGAGAATGGAGTTGAGTTTGCCTATTTCTGCTGATGAGTCCTAATAAGGACAACAGCGGTCCAAGAATAACTTTCTCCTTAGGAAAAATGTTGAAAATTATTTTTTATATCTACTATTTAATTTTTGATATAAGGCAATACCTGTTGCGGTATTAGACACAAAGTAATAGTCGTTTTCAGAAGGGAAATTATTGCTCATTATTTCTGTGACACAGGATTTGAGTGTTTTCTTTTTTCTTTGTTGTTTATAAACAATTATTTAATTATTTAAAATAAATTAATTCTGAAGATACTTATGGAGATACAGTAGAACCTCGATAATCCGGGCCAACCGGGACCCAGCCTTCGCCGGATAATTGAAAACATGGATAATTCAAAGACCCTATTTTTATTTTTCAATCATTTATTTAGACAAATACATGTGTCAAACGAAGAAAAGAAATGTAATACTAGATAAATGTAACAAAAAATAACATATTTAATATTTATACCTAATGTCTAACCGTACATTGAACAAATGTCTATAGGTATTGCGTGGAAAAAATCACTTTAAAAAAATCACCAATTTATGTTTGTTTTTGGATTCGCAACTTCTACACTTTATAATCTCCTTCATTTTTCTAAGCTGAAGCACATGAATGTCATCATTTCCAGGCTGTTTTTCAAAATATTAGATAATTAAATTTACTGCATCCCCTGCTTCTCGATGACTTGTTTTGATGACTCAATTATTCTTATCGTCAGCAGTACTTTCGTCAGAACGTTCTGTAGAGGTCTGATTATTTAGATAAACGACATACATAATCTGATATCCATTTTTTTCGTAATCATATTCTATCCATTTACCTGTATTTTTTCGTTGTCCATTTCTTCCAAATCTTTGATTTGGGAAGCTATAGATGTTATGCTTACGATTGATAACTCACCTTCATTTATGTCATTATCGTACCTTCTTTATCTGATGTATCTTCTAAGGTCAATATTTTATAAAATGCTTTTTTAATATTAGTCGCTTTTACTTCACTCCAAGCGCGAGCTACAGCATACGTTGCTTCTTTCAAATTTAGATGTTTCCAAAACCCCACAGTCACATTCTCCTAGCAGTTGAAGCATAAGGTCTTTCCTGTAAAGCCTCTTCATGGTCTCCATTGGCCTGGGCACTAGATGTTAAATATGCTGCGAATGTGTTCCCATCTGCTGACTTTAGTTGCTCAACATCAGGATGCGATAGCGCATTATCCAGTAACAGTACAGCCTTGGGTGAAAGATTATTTTCTTGCAAATAAGCTCTAACTTGGGGTATAAATTGTTCGAAAAACCGCTTTTTAAAAATTACTTGATCCATCCAAGCTACCTTTTGATTATAATAATCAACAGGTGTTTTTACATTTTTAAAAGCTCTTTGATTGTTGGATTTTCCTATGACTGCTAACCTAAGCTTATGGGTTCCTGATGCATTAGCACAGCATAATAGTGTTAAACGGTCTTTGATTACTTTAAAACCTAAAAAATATTACTTTGAAAAAACACTGTATATGTAAAAATATGTATGTAAAGCTAACCTGGTTCACTTGTTTCTGAGCCTGCAGCAAGTGTTCTTCTTGGCATTGCTTTCCAATAAAGTCCAGTTTCGTCTCCATTATACACTTTTAAGTCGTCCATGATTTTTTAAACCTGTATAGCCAACCAGAAGATGCCGAGAAGTTTCCTTCAATTTTCAACTGCTCGTGAAACTTTTGAGCTTGCCTAGCACACATAGGTCCTGATATTGGAACACCTTCTAATCTTTTCTGCAAGAACCACCTGACATAGCATCATGAAGCTCTCGGAATGTAGACCCTTTTAGAGATTTTCAGTAAACAATAGCTTTTGCACTGTAAACTTTAGCTGTAAAGCTCTGTAATTCGGCTTTTTTCGTCTCAATGTCACAAACCGTTTGTTTTCTAATTTTATATGTTTTAGCCAACACAACAACAATTATTTTATTTTCAAATCGTTTTAAAATTTCAAATGAAATGTTTGTTGTAAATTTTAACAAAATATTTACAACTTTGAGTCGTCTGACGTCTCGTTTATAGGGAGTTAAAACTAAATCATCCATGTAGATGACACTTTCTGATGGTCCCATCTTCCACTTCACAAAATATCAGCTGGAAGTATAATAGTACCACCCTGCAAGTCTATAACGAAATTGTGAACAATTTTATATTAATAGATAACAATGCCAAGCGTCCTTCCACAAGAAGATGAAAATAAATTGACCTGCCATACCTCAGGATATGAATTTCATTGAGAAACATATGGGATTATATTACAAGAGCGAAAAATAAAATAAATAATTGTCCCATAAAACTGCAGCAATATACTCCAAGAAACTATTAATAATCCCATTATTTTAATGCACAGGTGTGCACAATGAGTTTTAAAATGTTTTGCTATTTTGTTTCTGTCGATTCCATAAAGACGTTCATACAATTTATAAAATAATTTGTACATTTCATTTATACCGAACTCAACTATTTGCATCCGACATAAAATTTTATTGTCAATTTCTCTGAAAGTAAACAGACAATAAAACGGCGGGATAATCTTAAACATTGGTAAACCAAAATCCTGTAAAATTATTTTGCATTTCAAATCTTTCAATTCCACAGAATGTTTATTTCTTTATGGCGCTCTCCAGGAAAGTTAGGGAATGGGGTATTTGCACTTATTCAGTTATTTATAAATAATATATTGTAATATAGTATATATTGTTACTCAAATATTATTTTCTTTTTTATAATTATTCACTTGTAATTATTTATGTCTTTTATTATTTTATTTCTTGTTATTATTGTATTTATATCAATTATAATCAATAATTTTTTTATGCACAACCAGGCGATAAAGTCCAGATTATAAATACGTTTAGCAGGCGTAAAGTGCCCCTTTACAGCCCGCGAACTAGTATATTATTTAACGAGGATGCAAGTTTGCACTACGAGCCGCAGGCGAGTAGCGTAATCATCCTACTTAGTAATAGCCAATACTCGCTAGAAGAATACTATACTATTTCTCTCTGGTTATTAAATAAATAATGGAAAAGAGTAATGCAATATTTTATTTTATTTATTTGTTCTAAAATTAGTTGTGAAATTAGAACAGATTTTAAAATTAACAGAAGCTTTTGTATCCAAATCAACAGTAGTAGTTATAATTCTACTAGTCAACTAGTTTTCTGTGTTAGTTGTAGTTGTGGTCAAATTTTGTTGAAAATAATTAAGTAATGAAAAAATCAAACTCACTGTATAAGTAAACACTTACATTAATCAAAAGAAAGTGGATGTATAATACTTATATTGTTAAATAGTCATAGAAAAAAATTATTTTTTTATTTTTTTAAAAAATCACATCTAGTTAGTAAAACAATAGCTATTTATTATTAATACATAAAATTTTATATATTTGTTAATACATTATCATTAAAAGGATCGTGCATCTCTGTATATGTATCTGTAATGTGTGGAGGGAGGGTTACCCCCACGGCACTTAGGCCTCATTAGGCCCATTGTGCATCCTCCTAGATGATAGGCACCTCCTAGCTCGTGAGCCAGCCTACAGATTTTATGTAGTTGACAACGTCGCCAAGAGGTGCTTCTCTTATATCAGCCGGTGTTAGCCGATACTCGTCGAACACAAATCTTCTAATAAATGAGAGCGTCGGGCCTTCGTAAAGTATATGTTCGATGGTCTCATCTTCTTGTTCTCACCCTCTGCAGAGTGCGGATTCTGACATGATATGGAGATGCTTTCGTACTTGGCAATAAGCAGTCAGAATGCCTGTGACTAGGCGCAGATTCTGTCTAGTCATAGTCAAGTATTTGTTTGCTGCAGTGTTGTTAGAATAACTTAAGAGCTCCCTGGCAACTCTGCAGTTTCTTGTTTTATACTATCTTTTCTTGAATTTCACAAGGGAATGTTCTTTGATTAGGTCTATCACTACCGATTTTGTCAGGCCGATAGAAGGGCCAGGTCCAAAAAGTATTTGGTTGGCTGCGTTCTTGGCTTGTGAATCAGCAAGACGGTTACCTTTCGATGTGGCGTGACCTTTGATCCATCTTAAGGTGACCACATTGTTGATGGATACTTCGGCCAAAGCTTCGTGACATTCTAGTACTAACCCTAAGTAAATTCATGGTCTGTTCAGGGTGAGTAGTGCTTGTCTGCTATCTG